GTGGAATTGGTTAATTCATTAGCTGTTTAAAAGCTCTAAAGCTTTTGATAGATTTGAATAAAAATTCATTTTATGGGATGTAACAGAAACTGGTACAAATAAATAGGAAAAATATCCAAACAGGACTGTTTTCATACCAAATTAATATTGGAGTTTTCACTGCAGTCATTACGGGTCGTATTCAACTAAATAAAATAAAACATCAGTACTGATATAAGCAGGATTGGTTTAGATTGAGGCAGATGAAAAAAATGGGACACTAAAATCAGGGTAAGAACATTTGCATCTGAAATGCCCTTCAGATTGGTTTTTGAACATTTCAACAATAAGAATTTTACACCTTTAAAGCTGTAATTAATTTTTATGTTTGAAAAAGTTGTGATTAAGTGAAACGAGACAAAAACTACAAAAACCGATGTCAAATTCTTACAATAATTGCATTTGTGCTTAATTTGAGCAGGTAAATAGGATCAGCGGATCAACAGAATGAAAGTTTTCATTAAATAGATGTTATGCATTTGATATAAATAGGAGAATGGAGCTTCTCCTTCTCATTTTTAACTTAAATCATATTTTTTTCATTGGTAAATTCTCTAACCTGCTCAAATCATGAAAACATACATTAATTTCAATAAAAACTGACTTATATTTCCATTGTTGCTGTTTTTAAGGAGTTTAAGAGTTAAAATATACTTCATGTCAGCCTCTCTTCTCCTAGGGATGCACCGGAGAATTGTGAACTTATTGTGTGCAAAGCACTGCTGGAATGAAAGGATTGATGGAGGGAATATCCTGAAGGTTATGAGCTGACATTTGGCCTGCCAATGGAATATTTAACCTGCCGGAGGGAGGGAGGGGGGATAAAAAACAACATAACTTCTGGAAGCAGAGTTTAGAAAGAGAGAAGTGACAAAAACGTAACAGCTTCATGTTGAAGAGCAGGAACACATCGATAAAACGATACCTATACCGTGCAATACAGAGAACTAATCATTACCATTCCTTTTTTCGACATCAGCTGTCGGTTAAAATAAAAATAACCAGAAATTAATACATTTATCTGTGAGTGATGGATATGTGTATTCCATCAAAGTCTCCCTTTCTGAATGAATCTAATCCAACAACCCGTTTGGCTGATATTCTAATTAGAGGACATGCACCTGAGTGGTTGCAGGGACGTACCTGTGGCGTGCTGCATTGCCGTTCTTTGAACCGAAGGAGATGTGGTACGGCACACGATGAGTGTCGGGGGAAATGCTTATTCTTTGGCAACCTGCCCACTCTGAAACATGAGACAACAATTCATATAAACATGATACAAAAATATGAAATACATCATTTAACTAAAGTTTTTCTTAGTGTGCATTTGAAAAACACCTTGATGATGTAGACCAGTGTATGCTAGGGTGACCAGATAAGGGTTTCTGAAAAGGAGGACAGTTTTTGTTTGGAGGGGGGGGCGGAGCCATCAGGGGACGGACTACCATCACCGGGTCGGGTTCGGTTACTCCATCCCCCGCTGGCTCCCTCCCCCCCTCTGCCGGAGTTCCCGGAGCTCACGGCTCGGTTCTGCTGCACTGTAGTCGACCAGAATCCCAGACGATTTTAAAATTCCCCCCGGACATTTTTTTTTTTTTTTTAGGGATGAAAAGTAGGACGTGTCCGGGAAAAAGAGGACGTCTGGTCATCCTAGCATATGCTAAACCACGAAAAATCAGGCAAAAACGCTGGTAAATGTTGGATAAGTTATAGGTACGTCTTGTATAAGTGTAGCCTGGGTGCCATTCCGAACTTAGTCCCGCCCACAAGGTTTGAGGTTGGAAAGTTTGGTCTGGCTCTGCTCCATAGTAGCGCGAGTATGATCGCCCACTCTCTGGCGATCCAATCAAATTGTCAGGGCGGGCTTTATACGATGATGGACAGATGATCAACAGTAACGTAATCAACCACGTGACCAAAGCGCACTTGACAACAACAATGGCTGCTGCTGGAGAGTTGAGGTGAGTAGATTCTGCTATTAGGTCTGTTCTAGAAGA